CCTACACACAGCTATATCTGCTTTTGTTTACAATCAGAATGGGATCGAGTGTGTGTTATTTTTGTAAGTTTTCTATTGTTTTGACATTGACTTGCCAACAAACATACACACAAACATCCATTCAAATTATGAATAGATTTTTAATAAAAAATCATTCCAGAGACACTGGACAATGCTGCCATGAAAATCAAACCCTCAAACACAGGGATTTTGATCGTACTAACAAAACATACCATGTGCGGCCCATACTTCGTACGTTGCCTTTCAAGACACCATTTGAGTTGAGAAACCACATCCTGTTTATACTCCAACATCCTAAACAGGCAGACTGTCCTCAGCTGGATGAGGAACCCAGCAGCAAAGCAGATGAGATTGAATCGTAGTAGAGAATGTTCTGACCTTTCATTCTAGATCTGTGGCAACGTCCTGATGAGCAGCCACATTATTTAGTCATGATAAATTGACATACATATATTGACATGGTTTTGATATTTTGTACTCAAAACCTATTACACTCTCATCCATCTTTAATATAAATTATAATCTGTTTTAAAAAGCATAGGATTTACACATGTGCATCAGCAGCTAGTGATGTCACAGGAGGCTAGTGCAGGAACCAATGTTAAAACAAAGTGCAACTGAACTGGGCTGAAAAATCAAACAGAAAAATCATATGGGTGGGGCAGAAGGAACAGACCAACCATATGATTCAGCCGCAGGAAAACAGACAGCTGCCCACCAACATCAGACAACAGTGAAACAGAGTGAGGGAGATGTGTGTGTATATACTGTACATCAGGCACCAAGTGACACCAGTGAAACCAATTAGACAATGAGAGCACAGGGTATTGTTTAGTGTGATCCAACACTTAATCAGGAAGAGATACAGAAAGGCAGACAGCATGTCAGACACAATGAATATTCAGTAACAGTGTTGTGACGACGATACCAGGGACTGCCCCTGGTATCGTCGTCACAACACGTTGATGAAGGAACAGGAAGAAGAGGAGAATCTTTAAAGTGACAGAGGAGAAAGAAACATTAATCTCAATTCTTTGAGGAGTAAGGAAAAAAAGTTAAAAGTAGAAGATGTGTTCATCTTCTGGCAATGATTAGAGATTAACCAACCAATTTGAATTTCTTTTGTTTGCTAAAGATTTTCTATATTTCTGCCTGCATTCTCATTTTCTAATTTGCTCAACAATCAACAAAAAAAAAAAAAACAAAAAAACAAAACAAAATGACAACATGTTTGTTTAAAATGGAAAGAAAAACAACCACACTCTCATTCACACCTATGGTCAGTCAAGAGTAATGGTTCTTAACCTGGGTTCGATTGAACCCCAGGGTGAGTCAGTCTCAGGGGTTTGGCGGAGGACAAGACACACACCTCATATGATTCGTTATGACACAACCCCTCTTGGCCATCACCGAAGGCTTCGGTGAATGCACATATGAAATTAGTGGGGTTCAGAACCTCCAACAAGGTTAAGAACCACTAATCTAGAGCAATGATCATAAACTGGTGGCTTGTGGGCAAAATATGACCTGTCAAACTATCCAGTCCGGCCTCCAACTGGATTCAGAAATCCGAAATATCTGGCCCCTAGGTGTCGGTCCAAAAAAAACCAAAAAAACCTGTCCCTCTGACAAATATAGTTGGAGACCCCTGATTCAGAGTCCAATCCAATGAACACGTTTTTGGAAAATTAGCAGAATTTAAATGATTATTGGCTCTAGACTATGACAGACTCGAACAGATCAGTGTCTCAGCTGCAATTATTTGATAAACACTGGTGCTGCTGATCATATTAATGAACGCTGTGTAGTAGCCCAGGGTCAAAGTAGAAGATCAGTTATTGTCATCACTGACGGTTGAGTTCACCCAATAGGCTGCTGTCCCATCTAAAAGTGATTCTTTTTAAGCTTCAGACACACACAAGCACAGAACACAAGTACAGCTGTCCACGGCACAACAGCTCTTGGTAAACTAAGGACAAGGTTGTGTCATTTTAAAAGTTATAAAAACATTTATAGAACTATTGCCTTATGATGTCATTGTAACTTTTGTGGTACAGAATGTACAAACTGTGACACACACTGCACTTCACAGATGAGTCAAAACAGCTCATCTTTAACGAGGAGGATATGCTGAGTTACAGACAGGCATAATCTGCTGCACCTCATAAACTGGAATGTATCTGTAGTCACAAACAGCTGCTTCATTCAAAACTTAACCATAAATGTATATATATAGTACAGTACAGCAATGAAATTGCTAGGTATGACACCACCTGACAATGCCAGGCGTAATTTCACACTGTCTCTACATCATAATGTCTATGTCAACATGGACAATGACAAAAGGTGAACAGACCATGAATCTGCCCTGACCCTCTCACTGCCCACCGTCACTGTGAAGTATTAAGCCAATCAAGCCTGGTGGCTGGAGTCTGTGTCCAATCAGCTGTGAAGACCAACTCTTTACACACCAGTTATTGTAATGACTCCTCTGGGTTGCATCTGCTCCCCTGGCAGACAGCCCCTCTTCACAGGACTGGAATAATATGGTGTAATTATTATTGACATGTTGTGACCAGGAGAAGATAAAGTTCAGCGCCAATGTTTACTTGCTGTGGATACAATTAAGAGGTTTTGACAAAGTGAAGTCCCAAAGACTTGGCCTGACAGTTACACAAACTGACAACAGTAGGACTGAGCTCTACCCTTTGGAATTGGGTCCTGGATTTCCTCACAGTCAGGCCGCATTATTGTTGTCATTTATTCTCATTCTCATGGTTTTCATTTCATCTTATCTAGTTTTTCGCTTCTATTTATTTCAGTTCTTCTCCTTGAATTATCTATATTTATCTTACGCACATATTCTTTTATTTTAAATTTCATTCCACCTCATGTTTTTAACATGCATTGAAATGACAGTAAACTCTGTGATCCCTGAATATTCCATGTTGTTAGCTCCTGAAATGTGTTTCAGTATGCATCCACTCTTCCTACCTTTCATTTCTCCCATATCCAGTGTCTTCCCCAGCTGCTCCAGCAGGTCGGCCCTGGCAGCGTTCTTCTTATGCTTTTTGCCGTCGTAGTGCTGCTGAGCCATGCCGGGGTTGTTGAACCAGGCGTTACAAAGCTGGCAGTAACGGTCAGAGTCTCTGCGCTGTCGCGGTGAGGTCATGGGAGAGGTTTCTGGAGAGGTTTTTACAGGACTGGGAGAGGCCTCTGAAAAAAAATTAAAAAAAATAAATAGCATAAATTTAGACATTAATGGGACATAACTGAGTTTATTCATCGTAGTAATGTCTTCTATTTAATGATAAAAATTTAAATTAGTTTCAGCTTCTCAGCAGATGTCGACGAGCCTGAAGGCATGTCTTCCAAATCAGATTATGGTGTAATTATCTAAGATGTGGATAATTACAACACTAGTACATCAGAATGGATCCCATTCTAAAAATGCTCTACAATAAATTACAGGAGTAACCTATAAAATGTTCAACTTTTAGTTAAAGATATTCAGTAAAGAAAATGCATTTTGTGCTTTTTTAAAAAACAAATAATTATGTTCTTAGCTCAAAGGAACAGTTTAGATTAATGGGGCGTTCACACCAAAACCGATCAACGTGAACTGAGCGGCAGCTCCATATACACAATCAACGTAAATGGTGTCACAGCAAACGGGGTGCGAGTGGAACGCCGAATGCAAATCGGTGAAGTGAATAAAACGAACAAACTTCGGGGGCGATGTAAAAGTAGTTCAGCATCACGCTGTGACATTTAATCAACAACGACTTTATCCAGATGTTCTAGTTCAGGGGTGTCAAACTCATTTTCACCAGGGGCCACACCAGCAATACAGTTCCCCTTGAAGACTGTATAGCTTAGGGGTCCCAACCCTCAGTCAGCGGACCAGTACCAGTCCATAGGACACAGTGAAAAAATGTACTTAATTTTCACTAATTTACTTCAAAGAAAATCCAGTCATATCCTTTTATTTTCTTTATTTAAAGATAATCTGGCAATATTTTTTTAAAAAATAGATCATTCAGACTCAGTTACAAACAGAATACAGTCTAAAAGATGTTTTACTTAAATGTAATGTTCCTTCAATGCTCAGCACCCTGGTACCAGTCTGTAGTAACAGCTGGTACTGGCTGACCAGTCCTTGGAACAAAAAAGTTGGTGACCACTGGTATAGACGTAACTGCTCCATAACAGACTAATATATGTTTCTGAAATTGATTATTATTTATTTGAGCTAAACATATTGTTAATTGCTGTGTAATATATATATATATTTATTTCTTAGGTTAAGAAACTCTGCTGCATGGACTTTACTAAATGCTTTTTAAGCTCCCGCAGGCCACACAGTTTGACACGTAAGTTCTAGAAGTTCCTAAAGTAAGCAGAGAAGTTTGTCAACAATGGCAGACAAGCTTATCATCACCATGTGTGGGCATTACTGGATTAAAAACAAAAGAGTCATGGGCTAAAGTTGGGACAAAGAGTTGAGACTCTCAGGTAAATTGTGATCCTAAAATAGGTTTTGACGGCATGTTTGATAATTTTAGCTATTCCTGACGTAATATTAAGTTGTTGGGTTTTTGTGTGTGTGTGTGTTTGGCATATGTTTTCTATGAGAACATTGCATCTTCATGGTTACCGTTGGGCTAATTGTACTCATGTCTCTTCTACAATTCTTCACACATTTTCAGATTTGAAACTTAGTGATTTGTTGATTTTGACATTATACTTTTCATGACTTCAAACTAATCTAACAAAATGTTCTGTAGACATTAACCATTTGAAAGGTTAAACAACTGACTCATAATGCAGTGTTATTCTGCTGTTTGTTTTTTCAAAAGTTCAGCCCTTTACTGTTCACTGCACTGACTGGATTTGGGACACTGTCACTGTACAACTTTAGTTAGAGTTACTTTAATGAGCAGTGGTCAGCAGAAATACAGGGACAACTGAAGCCCTCACTGAATAACACGCTGTTATCTCCATTAACTGCCTGGAGAAGACAGGCCTCAATTCAACTTGGCAAGACGATTGAAGAGCCTAGTGCTTGAGATGCTGCCCACTTGTGTCTTCATGCACGAACAACGACATTAACCCCAAACCAAGCTGGGCACATCCCTCGCTACAAAACGACGCAATCAACTTAATCGTTTTCAACACTCCAGTGCTCAGTTGGACCCTGAGTCAACATTTAGAGTGGTCCCATTACAGAGTTAACATTTCAAAAGCCCTACTACAGTGAAAACCACAGTGGAGGGAACGCAAACAGAAGTGTCGATGTCAGCACTTTGGCTTAAAGGTTAGGGACCTCTTAGAGTTACCGCTGAGACAAAGGCCCAAAACTGTTAATGGTTCTGCAAACTCCATTTACAGAAAATGAAAGAGACATTTTGATACATTAAAAACACCCTTGGCACACAACAACCAACAAACACCCAGCAGACCAAGCCTCTTTTTTTATCGTTCACCACTTTGTGCTAAAGTTTGCAGCAGACCGTCTATGGTTTTAAAAGTTAAGGTTGGCGGTCTGCTGCTGAATTTGTCTGAAGATTTAGTCCTTAGGCTTAGCATTAGCTTAGCATTCAAAACTACTGTTATAGAACAGATGGATCCGGGACTTTCTTCTGGTCCTTTCAGTCTAAACTCAAACAAAACATTTTTCATTGCCTCATCCTACACATTATGCTCATAAGTGAACTGTAGATGTACAGTGATGATTAAAACGTGTAGTTGAAACAAAACAGCTAGAAGAAATTGTAGTTTCCAAAGTCAGCGAGTTCTACTGAGGATAGTAATAAAGACTGGAAAGTAGGAAACCAAAGAGAAGATTAGAGAATCCAGTAGTGTAATTACTTCTCACTTTTAAGTACACTTGAGTAGTATTAAAACAGGAAGTGATATATTGTCTCACGAAAAATGTTGAAAAAGGCCTTAATTATTTAGGATTACAAAAAGATATCTGTTTCTCAGCCATTTTTAATGGTTTCATTGAAATGTGTGAAAATATATATATTTATTTCTACAGGTACATAAATTACAAGTACAAAACTCCAGTTCATCTTAGTGTCTATGGTCTTATGGAATCTGCATGTTTCCTGTTTGATATGTTACTGTTTACTTGTTTCCACTCAGGCCCTGAGGGAAAACACACACACACCCCAGCTTCAGCAGGCCTCCTGGGTTAAGATTAGCAGCTATTTAAAAAAACACAGAGGTGTGAATAAAACATTGATTATGCAGAGGATTTATTGGACAAACATCTCCTGGAAGACGAAATTACAGGGAAAACAATTAGGACAAAAACAAAAGAATGAATGCAGGATTTAAGCAAAGATCATTTATCATGATCAGTAGATCCTCATCCGGCTTTTGTTTTTTTTGTTAGCTCACCGTCTCTCTCCTCTCTCTTATTGTTAACTGAGCAGTCAAACAAAGGAGTGAACCATTATCTCCCATTCAGTGGAGATAATGGAGTCATTTTCCTATGCTTTGATTGAGGGGTTTCTACTCATTGTCACTTAGAAGCAAATGGTGTTGTCTTAGTTTGAATTTGGAAAAAAAAAAACAAACAAAAAACAAAAACAAAAACAGGCAGAGTTATCATTTTACCTAAGAACAACTGCTTATTACAGACATGTAAGACAGGAAGTCAGAGCTGACTAACAGATCTGACCAGGCTGATCAGTTTCAGTTTGCTGTTCTTTTTGATTATGATAAAGGACCATAAATGCTACTCTGAGCTGATGTCACACTTTCAGTCTGTGTGTATAAAGTAAATAACCTTTGTCTGGATGTCAACACACTGTTGAGGTGCACTCACACAAGGGTCATTCCTTCCCTAAAGTCTAGATTTTGTGGCTTGTTTGAGGGCAAATGTTATAGTGCCTGAGCATGGCACAATCCGTTGGCACGGCACAGTTGAAGATGTGTGCTGAAGCACAGTACACTTGCTCTCAGAAAATAAGAAGCTTAAGAACATTGAAAAAACAACAACTGGATGTGTAAAGAATCTTTTTCTTACTTCTCTTATTGTTGTCTTTGTTGTCGTTTACAGTCGTTTCCCTTTTACTTTTCTGCTAAAAGTAAATCACAGTTGAAAGAGACGATTTTCACTCATTACTTGTTTTTTTCTGAGATTAATTGTATATTGACGGAGCCTGTGGATGTCGTAGTAAATGCAGTACGAAGTACAGAGTTTAAGAGAGCAGTGGGAAAACAGGTAGGATTGGAAAAACTATAAATATCCTTGTGGAAAAGAGAAGTGTGCTGGTATTTTTCCTGCTCCTTCCTGGTCATTTATAGATAGTACATTACAACCCCTTGAGTCTGCTTTTTAAACCCGACCAGGGATACAGTTTGTTAGTGCAAAACCAGTGGTTCCACTCACACAATTGACATCTCTTTCTAGATTCTCAACTGTAACGGTCCATCGGAATGAAATGTCATATTTATTAAAATTAGTGCTGTCAAACAATTACAATTTTGAATCTGATTAATCACACTGCAGCGGTGGATTGGTTAGATAAATCACAATGATCATGACTGTAATGAAGCGTCAATAATGATGATTTATTCAGACAAGTCAGACAAATCGTTCCTAAATATGACACAAGAAAACAATGGTTCATATTTTGGCTAAAACAGAAAGACAAAGAACAGAGAGCAGATGTGTGTTTCCAAAAGATGCAATTATTAAAATGGAAAAATATTTAAATAATCACTACAGTCCATCTGACAGTTCAATACTCGGTTCATAATATATATACGTGCAGGTCTGTAAAACAAAACTTGTTTGTTTTTGGTTTTTGTTTTTCTCTTATAATGATGTTTTGCTGCCTTTGCCATAAAAAAATGTTTGGTAAGGGTTTGGTAATAAAGTTACTTCAATGGAGGCAGTCTCGGAGGCAGGCCATTCTCTTCCTTAAAACATGTTCACATCAATTTTTATTTGCATTTCCGCCACTTTGTTTTTATCTCTGATGAGATTCAAAGCACTTTTGTCCAATCAAAGACTCAATATCAATATTTCTGCTGAATCTGTCCGTGGGACTCATAAAGTATGGTTTTATCTGATGTGTTTGAATTTTCTTTCCAATTGAAGTCACAAATAATCTATAAATTATACGGGTTTAGGTCTTTTTTCATCTAAAGGAGTTCAAACTAACAGATGTTGTGAGGACTGAATGCTGCATTGCTGC